TCTCTGGGCAGGCGCAGAGAGAAGCCCCCTACAACTGCCCCCCCCGGGGCAGATGCAGAGAGAAGCTGCTGCAGTTGCCCCTCTCTATAAATGCCCCCCCGGGCAGATGCAGAGAGAAGCCCCCTGCAGCTGCCCCCCGGGGTCCCGCCCGCACTCACCCCCGCCAGGCGCAGCGCGCGGGGCACCGCCATGGTGCAGGGCCGGAGGCAGCGGGGATCCGGGGGGGACACACGTGCCCCTGCCCCCGCCCCGCCCGCTGCTTCCGGCCCCGCGCGGGGCATGCCGGGAGCCGTAGTCCGGCCGCGTGGCCCTGGTATGCAAATGAGCTGATTTGCATAGTGCGCGGGGCGGGGCGTGTGCACGGGAGGCGGGGCGGGCGTCTGTTCGTGTGCACGCATGGGTGCATGTAGGGATGCTGATGTGCACACGTGTGCGGGCATGTTGGTCTACACACATGGGTGTATGTAGGGATGCTGGTGCACATGAGTGTGCAGGCATAGTGTGCACACGTGTGTGTCTATAGGGATGCTGGTGGTGCACACGTGTGTGCGGGTGTGTTGGTGTGCACACATGGGTGCCTGTAGGGATGCTAGCGTGCATGTGTGTGCAGATGTGTTGGTGTGCACACATGGGTGGATGCAGGGATGCTGGTGTGCACATGTGTGCAGGCATGTTGGTCTACACGTGTGCAGGCGTGTTGGTGTGCACGTGTGTGCCTGGAGGGATGCTCCAGTGTGCAGATGTGTTGGTGTGCACACCTGGGTGGATGTAGGGATGCTCGTGTGCACACTTGTGTGCATGCACGCACAATGCAGGGGGTGCCCAGGAGGTTGGTTGCCTGTGCCCGTCCATTGCCACCTGTCCCGGGGTCCGGGGGTCCCGACCTCCTGTGCTGAGCTGGCCCCTGCCCCCCCAGGCGGCTCACAGCCACCGAGCCCCCGACTCCCTTGCCCGAGCTGCGGGAGAACCCAGGCGCCCCGGCTGCCCCCGGCGCTGCCCGAATCCTCTGGACTCTGCTGCCTTCCCTAACATGGGAGATAACCCGTGTGTCCGGGCTTGCACCCGCTCCCCCCCACTGACCCCTATGCCCCCGCCCACGCTGGGATGAACCCAGGCCTCCGGGCTTCCAGCTGCCCCCAGCTCTGCCCGAACCCCCCTGACTCCGCTCCCTTCCTGGACCTGGGAGGAACCCAGGCGTCCGGGCTCCTGCCCCCCATCTACCCCACTGACCTCCCCAGCCTGCCACAGGCCCCAGGCCTCCTGGCTCCCCCCCAGCTCGGACCCATTGTCCCCCCAGCTGAGCTAGACCCCGGTGTCCTGGCCCACAGCCCCGCTCTCCCCAGCCCTCCCCCCCCAGGCTGGGCTAGAACCCAGGCGTCCTGCCCCCCCCATCCCCGCCGCAGGCCGCCTGCCGCAGCGGCGCTGATGGAATCCCATCCAATTACTGCGACGC